TATAATATTCAGTGTTTGGTACGTCCCCATTTCAAGACAATAATGAGCTGAGAAATCGCATACGACAGGAAAGATCCAAACAGAAGAGCACCACGAGTCAGCGAAGTTACCCTGGTAAAAAAGAACGTCGGCTCGAATCGCTGAACAACTCACTAACTGCAACTGATTAGAGCAAAATGTTTGGAAAATACGCTTTGTACAAAGTTGTTCGCTGCGTACGAGGGGCGTTTCAAGGGGCTGGGTCTGCCGCAGCGCCAGCCTGTTCCCTATTGTAGAAGCTAGCAGGCGACCGAAGTCGGTGAGCAACCGGCGCCGGCCATCCAGCCACTGAAATGCCCCAACGTTTGCAATGAACAATAGCCTGGATGGTGAGAAAAAGGAAGAAGTTTTTGAAATCACCATATGAGCCTTGGATAGGAACACACTGAACTCACTTTCTAAAGTGTTTCTTTGACACTTTCACATAGATATAAGCAAAATATGCTATTTCGGTTGCCGTGGCCCAACCATAGAAAAGTTCAACCATCTAAAAAGAAAGCTGATAGAACTAAGCAAAGATCTCGACACTGTTCCACCACTACCACTGCAAAAAGTGGAATTTTACCGAAACTATTCAGGGCCCTGGTCATGAACGTGATATTCATTTTTGGCAGGGGCGCCATTTGGTGCCACTACTTTTCTCATCGGAATCGATTAACATTTTTATTTTTATTTGTATTTCCTTATTGATCCCCATATTAGCGCCGGCGTGAGAAGGGAGTTTCATGTTCGTGATCAGTATGTTAAATGACACCCACTCCCCTCTTCCCTAGAGAAGTTCCCATCGATTTTGATAAGAAAGGTGGTGGCGCCAAACAGCGCCAGCTCTAAAAATTAACCCCAGGGCGTCGAATAACATCTAAGCAGGGTTTAGGCGGATAAGTAATTTTTTTGTTGTTTTCGGAGTCTAGTAGTAAGTAGTGCCAATGTTTAGAGCGAGTGGTTAGCGTGAGCGCCCATAATTCCCACAGTTCACTTAGCCCATCCTTCGGCTTCTTGGCCTTTTTCGGAGCCTGAAAGGATTAAAAACAAGTGGAATATTTTCTCTCCAACGCCTAAACAGAAAATGAATCAAAGTTTCTTTCCCCAAATTGTCTTGAAGCGCAACATCCCGCTACGCTGCGTAGGATGTGAGATTCTGGCTCCTCGACTGCTTTGCTTTTTCGAAAAGCAAGGAATCCCGGCGTGGGTGAGCCTGCTTGAAAGTGTGGAATATGTCAGGTAACAGAGGCCACAAAACGGATTACACACGGGAGAAGGTTTTAAAAAACTGCAGATTGACGCAGGGATTGAGCTCAAGTTGCCTATGGACCACACCCACTAAGAATGTCCAGCAAATTTCGCCTGTAAACGATAAAGAAAAGCAAATATGCTACCTGTTGCGCGAAAACAGTACTGCCAAATACGAGAAGTGACCAGACCGCAATGTAGGAGACCGATTCAAGCACAATCATCGGCTTGTACAGCACCAAATCAGTCAGCAGAAAGACAGGAATCAAAGCTATCATATAACTGTACGTCCATATCGGATACACCTGACATTTATTTTGCAGCAAATGCTGAGAGTAAAAACCTCACAAACAGGAAAAACTACCTTCCCATTCAAAACCTTCTCAG